GCACATCTTTGAGGTGAGCAATCTGCCAGGGAGAACCACATCGGGGGCATCAGGTGGTCCCACATAGGACCGCTAGCCAAAAGGCAGCTCTTTCACTATAATATCTACCGTATTTATCTTATTTCTATTTCAATTGATGTACGGGTAAGCTACGAATTAGTTTCTCCGCTGCTTTTTTCAAAAGTCCTTAACAAAACGTATCAAAATGCAACGTGACTTCACAGAATCTTAGGATCCACCTGCCAGAAGACCTCCTTTGACTTCCCAAAACCCACCTCTCTGCCACTCCATTCATCTTCCTATCCATCGATTCTCGGATTCTCCATTGGATTCTCTCCATCCAAACACCTCCATCCTGCGTCGCCTGCAAGTTCTGGCGGCTCACCCTTCGCACCAGCCGTTCGGCTCCGAGCCCGGGAGGTGCGCTGACCACTCCCACCGGCTCGACCGGCTCGGTCGAGGAGCAGGGCTCGATCACCTCGAGGAGCGGGGCCAAAGCTTACAGTGGTGTACAAACTTTTTCTGACTGTAGCTGGTGATCCCCTAAATAGATAGTGGCACGGTTTCCAAGACATGTTCTACACGGGTATCTACTGTTCTATCTATTTGGGGACCACTATGGCTGGTGGTGCAAGAGACCGAAAGCCCAAAGACCGAAAGCGGGGTTACCCGCTGAAATAGGCTTCAGAACGAACTGGGTGGCACTCGTGCCGGCGTGCCGCGACCGTTCTAGCCGTCTTTCCGCTCGTGAGGGCCTTGCCCTCCAAGTCAAGATCCAAAAACATGCAGACGTCGAAATGGGTGTTTCTCTTAGAGACGCCCCAAAAGAGATCAACATGGATTGGGAACATGGCCTCTGGAGGAGCACGTTGCACGGCTTCATTCTTGAGCTTCCATTCTTTCTCACTATAGCAGTGTAGCGAACGGTGTACATCCAGTAGGACTGCTGTAATTAGCGTGCGGTCTTGGACATAGCAAATCAAACGCTGCACGTCCTCTGATAAGCTGGTGGAACGGTGGAAATAAGTGTCGTGATCTTGCGCTGTTTATGATTATGTGTAGGAATTTGCATGTGCTTTGTCTGGTTTGAGATGTCCCGCGAATTTGACATAACACTGGAAATTGATCTTGGTCCTTGACCTTGATATGGGACAGACTTGGTCTCGACAGGGGGGTTCCTGGCTATGGAAGCTGTTGTTGTTATTGTTTTCACACAACGACCCAGCCCGTATTTGGCTCCGGGTCTGAAACTGCTCAGTCAAAGTGAGAAAAAAACTCTCATAGCGGCTGTCGGATATGCAATCCTCTCCTCCGTCACATGCAACCCACCAAACGGCGCCCTCACCTCCTCGCTACTGGAAGTTGACATCAGACCTCAGGCTGCTGCTGCAATGAATGCCAAATAAGAGGATTCGCATTGAAAAAGGAAGACTCCCAAGCCACCAATTCAACGAAAACCAAGCTGTCGGAGACGTTTACCTATTTTTCCATAGGTTACCTATTCCATCCTATTGTCCAGGACGGCGTCCTATGTCATGTCAGATTTCAGCCACCTTCAACACCCCAGATCGACCGCCTCGACCGCCTGGTCGGAGATCGACCACGCCCAAGTGGCCAAAGCCGCTCCGTCACATCCAGCTGCGCCACGGTCTCCGGCAGCGCGGCCGTGGCGCACCCAAAGCACCCATCTCGGGGGCAGCGCGCCAGGGCAACGGAGGGAGGCAGCCAAGGCCATGGCGGGTCCATGGTTTTGGATCCGAAGTTGCCTGTTTTGGGCTTAGAGCGGCTTGCAGGTTCCAAACGTGAAGAAAAATACATTTTCTGTTACTATAGTAGCTTCTAGCTACTAGTAATCACTTGCATATATACACAGAAAGGCATGTTTGATTATGTTTGTGTGTATGTGTTCTTCATGACTTTATGTGTTGGCTGAGAAACCATCCTGCACGAACCGGTGCGTTTCTTTCATTTCCTGACTGCCCCGGTCAGTGGGGACCCAACAAAGGCATAGAGATCACCCAAACAGGCTTATATCCTCACACGCTACTAGGGACTCCTGGCATCGCTACTAGGAGCAAGGACGCTACTAGGGGACCATCTCGGCTCCAGACTTGAAGTAGTGTGGAGGGCTTGCTGCCACTGGCTGGGTTGGAGGGTCTTTGTCCCCTGCTCAGGTGCTGAGGGTCAAGATCTGTCTAAGCCAAAGGCTCTGAGAGACGAGATGTTGCGGATTTGTGCCCCATAAGTCTTCACAACCTTGGCCAAAACGACTTCTATGCGCTTCCACCTCTCCCAGGACCTTCACCTCGTGGACTAGCTTAGCTTCATGGAACAAGCTAAGGCCTGCATCCAGCATCCAAAAAGGGCCTCCGCCTCAGCTGCTGAGCCTTGACAGCAGAAACGTTCGCAGCCTCCCTTTCTGTCCCTCCCCCAAGAAAGCCCCTGCATGTCCTCGGTCGCATCCTCATCCTCGCCCGCCTTAGGGGTGTACAGCCCGCCTTGGGGGTGTACAGCTTGGATTGGTGTGGAAACAAGTCGGTGCCGACCAAGACTTCCCATTCTACATTAGGCCAACGACTAGAACTGGAGAAAACGCGTGCCAGGCTGATCAGCCGTCCTCTGTGTCTTACTCGGTCAGGTTGCCCACCACTTGAGAGGAATGGGTTCCCACAAAGTTGGGCTACCAGTGGCTACCAGCGAAGACACCTCCGAATTGCATACTCGTCGCCATAAAGAAGGGGGTGACCTCTCGAGATCAATCAAACTCACCAAAAGCTGGGTCACCAAAGGAAGGTCTGTCAACCTCCTTCGTGCGTTGAACCACCGCCATCTTCGTTCGACCTTCTTACAGACTTCTTCCACCGAGTCCGGCGCCAACCTCAGGACTCCTCCGCAGCCTCCAAACCATGAATTGCCCGCCAAGGGGCTCCAATGCGAGCCTTGTTACCTGCCCCCCGGCCCGACGCAGGGGGGGAACCCGACGACCTCCATGGAGCATGGAGATCTCCCAGAGGGCCGGTAGAGTCAAACAGGGCCACAAGCAGCAAGCGGTTTGGTGTCGAGGGAGTCGTCCACGTCAGTGCATGTTGGGTTTCGATACCGGCAACTACAATACAGGGACCCCTGGGACCTCATTGGGACTACCTACAAAACTGGGGTCTAATATGTTGTTGCCATCTTAGACCTTTAGTAGTTGGGGGTATAGGTTTTTAGTCTCTGGAGTGGTGCCAGCTGAGCTGGAAAAACCGGATGCCATAAGCAATAAGCAGAAAGACTGTGATGAAGTCTTCCTGCTTACTACAAGCCCTTGATCACTCGGTAGTGGACGGCATGAAGATGGAAAAGTGGATGAAACCCGTTTCTGTCCATTTGGGGGTCGCAAATAATACTTCAATCAAGGTTATATACCGAAGAGACCGATCGCACTTGACAGCCACGTAATGACGTAAAGACAATTAATTAGACTAGACAAATATCTTTTTTAGAGAGAGAGAGAGGAAAAAAAAGAAAGCAAGCAAGCAAGCAAGAAAGAAAGAAAGAATCAAAGAAAGAACGGATTACATGATTACATAAGATAGATGACAAACAAAGGGACGGACGGACGGACAAACAAACAAACAGAGAGACAAACAAACATATGCATATAGAGAGAGAGGGGGGCAAAAACCAAAGGCACGTAGCTTTGCAATGATCTACACTGCCAAAACGAAGCGCGGTCTTTTTGATCCGTCCTGTGCGTATCGAACTGCCTGAACCCACACTGACGGTCATCATGATCGTGCGACCGAACTGCCATCCAGCATGGAACCTGTCAAAAGGCCTTGGAAGGTGTTGTTCGCGACCTCTTCAGGGAGTAGTCAGTAGTCTTGTCACAGCCCACACCCCATGACTCGCGGCACTTGTTGTCGCCGCAGCCTTTGGGCTCTCCAACGCTTCGTCAACCCAAAGTACAGAGGGCAGCCCGGGCATTCAGGCATTGAGGCGGCTGCATGTCTCGCTGGAATTCATAGGAATCTCAGCTGATGCTGTCTCCTCCACATTCAGCATCCCCCCATGTCACTAGAGATCCATCGGCCAACACTGCCGCAAATGCTTGCGACCCCGCAAAAGCGAGCCGCTGGAGGTCTGGCGGGCCTCAGGACTTCGCCCAGGTTCGACCCACAAATCGACCCATTGGATGAAGTAGAAACCCCAATGAGTCGATTGGCTATTGCTATGCTAATCACTCCAATGAGAAGAATGAGTGGATTCATCCATTCTCAGAGAAAAATCCTCCTCCAAACCCCTTCTTTTGGCGCAATTTGGTATGCTAATTTGGGAGGTGGGACCTGGCCCGTGGACGTCTGTTCCTTCAGCTTGAGTGTGGAAATGACCGGTCCTTAGGTCATTTTCCAGTATAAATAGGAGAGAAGTGTTTCCTTAAGGATGTTCAAGCTTTGCTTAGTCGCATCCATGTGCCAGGAAAAGAACAATTGACTGAAACAAATTGCGTGCACTGGTCCAAGTAGGGAGGGACAATTGACCCCAGGTCACCAGATGTCCTGCAGAAATGGCAGCGAAACCAAACTCAAAGCCCTTGATTTGCTGTACATCTTGGAGCTGATCTCGAACCTTGCTGCTATCACCTCCACCATGTGGATTCCCCCAGGTCACCACCCGTCCCTCCGCGCAGAGGGCGGCAAAAGCGTTCCGCGTCGCCTCGATCTCGCGCACGTCGTTCAGCTCATCCTTCACGTCACAGCTGTCACCTCCCAGTTCTGGGTCACCCCACGTCACCACGGACGCATCGGCTAAGAGGGCCGCGAACGCACACTCCGAGGCATAGATGGCCAGCACATCCTTCAGTTGATGCTGAACCTCGTGGCTGTCACCGCCAAACTCTGCATCTCCCCAAGTCACGACCGAGCCGTTCGACAGGAGAGCGGCAAACGTTCGATCTTGGTTTGACAAGGTAGACGGCCAAGTAGACCCATCCACCTTAGCGACGCCACAGGTATGCGCTAGATGGCGCGATAGCGCCGGTCAAGCAGACGTCTGCGCACATCGGCCAAATGTGCTAGCACAGCGGCATCGTATTCGTGGTTTATGCCCATGGGCCATCCCAGAATTTGCTGAAAGAGATCACTGGGCTCGAAGGTTCTGGTATTTGAGAAACCTTCACATTCCCAACACATGTGGCGCCACGTGGGCGCGGCTTCCGAAGAACACCATTGGCAAGGAAGCACAGGTGCCTGTGGGTTCGAAATGCGAGCGAAACGAGCGTCGGACACGACCGCGCCCATCATGCACGCTCTGGCGTGAGTGTTGGACCCTTGGAACGTCTTACGAGCAAGGGTGACCCGAGCTTCATTGTATTGAGCTTCTTGAAGCATTTGAGCATCTCGCCTGGGAGTGGCAAGAAACAAACGAAACTGTCTGCGTCTCCAGCTTTCTCGGAGCTGGTGATGCTCGAGCTTATCGTTGGTTTGGACCTGTGCATCAAAATCAATCGTGTGATTAACAGAAGGATGGAACCATTTCCATGCTCCTTGCTCGTGCCATCCAAGCGAAGAAAGCCACCGTCTCACGGTGCCCAACCAGGTTCCTCTGCTGGCTTTGCGAGGCCAAGGCCTCGGGGATTTCCTGACTTGTTTAGCTAAATGCAAAAAGGCATGAAAACCCGCGCAAAATTCGGTGCTGAGTCCGTGTCCAGTCAACATGGAAAAAAGATTGTTTGCAGCCGCAACATGGCCTCCACCGGCAGCTTTCTTAAGGCGGAGGGAGAGCTTTTTACAAGGAACTGTGGAGTTCCATGCCCCCCAGATAGCCTTGGGGATTGCAACACACTTGATTAGGAAGGCTTTACGCTCATAAGGTAAAGGCAACAGATCGATGCGGGCGATCCTCTGAGCAGCATCACTGACACGTTGGTCTTGGGTAGGTCGATGGACTGCCCCAAGGCGGGCAGTGAAGTCCACTCCGAGCACTCGCGCAGAGGGTACGATGCTATTGGTGGGAAACCCCGCCTGCTCAAGGCGAGTCCGGAAGGCAGCCTTGCGAGGAACTACTTGAACCTTAGAATTATTTTCTTGCAGACCGACTTTGGCTGACATGTCTTTCCAAGTCTCCCACAGCTGAGCGGCTCGCTCAGGGGTTTTGGTCACGAAGTTCCGATCGTCTAGAAATGTCACCAGTGTGTGGTTTCCCTCTTTTTGCAGCACTCGACCAGTCAATCCAGCCATCACGGCCAGCAAAGTCAGAGGGGAAAGGGCGTCTCCCTGGGGAATGGACGTGGAGACGTCGACTGATTTGGGCAAAATGTCGCCCTGAAAACAAAGCCACCGTTCTTGCTTCCAGACCATTTGCAAGGCGGCCAAAATTTCCTTTGGACAGCCAACGTGTTCGAGACACCGCAAAGCAAATGCAGGGTTAATGGTGTCGAAGCACTTAGCATAATCAAGGCTTACCAGCACTCCGCCGTTTGGCTTTTCGAACTCTTGCAGCAAAGTGTCGATAGCCTCGGCCACACCTCTGCCTTCCAAGCCTCCACACGCCGTCCTATGGGCCCAGGATTTGACCCATGCACGGGTTTCTGGACGTCGAGTCCATGCCGAGGCGACCACTCGCCACAAGCAGGACTGCACTGAAATCGGTCTCAAGTCTTTTGCACCGATGGCGCCATCTGTGGATCGAAGTTTTGCATTTGGTTTTTGGAGCAAACATTGTCGCACCTTACTAAAGCAACGAGGCATTTCTTGGCGGGCAAACCACCGAGACAACAAAACGGCAAAAATGTTCCAAGCTTCGAGTGGCCAGCTGGAAATTTCACTGCCGCTCCAGCCATCAACGCCAGCGGCACTGCCATCTTGTCTTTTGGCTTGGGTGAGGAGTTCCTCAGCGGCGATGGGCGTCCAAGCAAATGACTGAGACGGAGGCATGCCTTCGTGCCAAAACTCAAAGGCTTCTTCAGGATCAGGCCTGTCCCTGTTCCAAACAGTTTGCCAAAATGCCAAAACGGCTTCCAAGGACTCCTGGCTCGTGGCTGTTGCAGCCCCGTTGCGAAAGCCAGGATCGAAAACTGAGGTGACAGGCAAACAATTGGTCTTTTTAATCCACTTGCTTGCATTTTTGACCGTGGAACGCATATTATCTCTCCAGTGAGTCAGCCGCTGTTGCTGTGCCTCTTTTAAGCAAATTTGAAGCTCACTCTGGCACCAAGTTTGGATTTGTTGTAAAGTCTGAAACTTATTCTTGCAAACCCACACATGCGTCCAGATGCGCTGCTGGAGGCGGTGAGGGACTGATTTGCCTTTTTGAACTTGCGACAGCGCTTCAGTGGCGCGGCCAAGCAGCTTGCGGAGGCGAAGCTCTCGAAAACTGGCTTCTTGTGTCCACCGAAAGGATTTTGACTCAGCAGGTTGCACCTGGATGTCTGTGCCCTTAGGTCGCTTGTGTTTGGGCTTGGGAATTTTACATCCACACGCAAGCATTGCGTTCACTTGTGCATTTTCAGCTAAAGTGCAGAAAGCCTCCCATTCCTCGTCAGTGCTCGTGCTGGGGGGCACTGAAGCTGAAGCCCAGACTTCTTTGAGTGCAGTTTGCCACATCTCTCTGGTCACCTCAGGGGATGGTGCAAGTTTACGGGTTTGGATAACTTTGAAGGACTGGACAGTTTCCTGTTGGTAGCTCAAAGAACATTGGATCATTTTGTGATCAGAGAACTTTGTAGCTTCAAAACCTAGGTTGTGAAGCATCAGGGGATGCGAGGTCCAGATCCAGTCAATGCATCTCTGACCGTCCCATCGCGTGGGGCATTCTTGACCCTCCGAGTTATGTACTGCTCTCACTGCGCCAAAGCCGTGCAGGTCACTCCATCGCTGTCCAAAAGACGGCAACTGGTTAAAATCACCGAAATAACAAATAGGGCAGCGAGCTTTTGCAGCAGCAGCCCACTCGTCTAGAGTGGGCAGGATATCACTGTTCATGGACCTGGGAGCTAAGTAGACACCAACCACCAAGGCATGAGCAAGTTGCAACATCAGGGCTTGCCCATCTGGTCGAATGTGGGTTTGCACCAAGTGGGCAGGCTTGTCGTGGCGGACGAGGATAGCGACCCCCCCAAAGGTTTGCGCGCAACCACTACGAGAAAGGACCGGTTGGGGAACAGCGAACCAGCTTCTATAGCCGTGCCTGGACAGAAACTGGGCAATGTCACTTTGCTTGTCAGGCGGCATACAAATCTCTTGCATGATGACTACGGACGGCCGGTGAACAACAGCCCATCGGCACACAGCCCATGCATTGTTTGCTCCATCAGCATTAATCATGGCAATAGACATGCTTTGAGGACCGCGAGTGGCTTGTGGCCCTGGCTGGGGATGTACGTCCCCATCGGCTGTAAGGTCTTTAATCCACTCGGAAGCCGGCGCGCACAAGCGACGGAGGGAAACACTATTGGGTGGAGGACAAAAACCCTTTTTGGCTTTCTTGGCGTCCAACGTTTTCTCAAGAGACATCAACTCAGGTTCAGTCATTTGCCAATTTTCTATCAAAAATGAAACAACATCAGGATTGAGTTGGCGCTTGCGCTTCCAAAACCCCCGGCGCGAAGGACTCTGCATGACCTTCTGACGGCTCTCGGGACCTGTACAGCGGTGAAGGCGGATGTCTTTCCACTTCTGGGCAACTAAGGTACAACGAGCGCAGCTGAAGTGATCCTGCTTATGACCGAAGCGTGCAGCGGGAATTCGAAAACAAAACCCGGGGCCAGTTTGGTTGTAAATGCGAATGGCCTCATCTGTCTTGCCACGCTTTGCGGCTGCGTTTTGCTCTTGGAGCTTCTGATGCTTGGCTTGCCAAGACGCACGCTTATAGCAGCGTTTCCGCATTTGTCTGGCAGACAGATTGTAGCAAGCTTTTTCATGGGCCAGCTGGCTTGCTCGCAAAGCTGTTTTTGGCATCCAGGGCAAGCCCTGGTGGCACTTGGGACATTCCCACGCACGCTGTGAAACGGGGATCGCTGAGCTGGCTGAGGCCAGCTGAGCGTGCTGTTTGAAAGCTGGTCGGACCAGTCGGGCCTTTCCAGGATGAGATTTTGCAATGTGACGCCGCCTGGAACAGGCCAGGGATCGCTTGAGTCGATTTCGCAACACTTGGCAACACAAATTGCAAGTCCATGTGTACTGATCAGGAACATTATGAGCTTTAGCTAACTGTGGCTCACCAGAGTCATTCACGTCAGCAGCCGGAGCAGCAGTAGATCGAATCGTTGCGGCCCGACTGCGGTTAGTGAGCTGGGTACGAAAGCTTGGCGCGCGGTCGCGGAGCGCATCACGGGTTGCTGGACTCTTTTCAGAACCTGTCTTTGGAGAGAACGAAGAGAAACTGTTTTCGGTCGTTCCGACAACGTGCATCCGCAGTGGACCTGCAGGGTCCTGACGGATGGTATGCACTGAGGGTGTGTCAGGCTCATCGGCACACAAAGTGTGAGCAGACGGAGTGGAGGGTTCGGAGGAAACCTCTCCCGCTCCGCTGAAGTCAGCTTGCTTGTTTTGCGTTTCAAACAGCCAGGGCGTTGGGACCTCAACGTGAGCCCCAGGGAGCAATGCAGTATAATGTTTATTTTCGAGCACAAGGACAGCGGGGCTAGCCCCCTTCCTACCACAAGCAACACCCTGAGGTTGATGAGTATAGGAAAACTTAGGCGCGAACACAAATCGCACCCATCCATCGCTGTCTTTTCGAAAAATGATAAGGCACAAACCGGTCTTTTCGGACAAACATTGGAGGGCCAAACCATCAACGTAAGTTTGTTGCTTTTCCATGTTTTCAATCCAGTCTTGGAGAGTTTCAGGGGCCTTACGGCCGGCGCGTTCAGAAGTGGTTTCTTCTGTGTCCAAAGCCCAAAATGCTCGAAGTCGGTCTTGGTGCTTGCGAGCGTGCTTCATGGCCAGCATACGCAGTTGAGCTCCGGCCAAGCGCGCAGCGTCTTTGGACATGTTTCCGGACTGCTGTGCCCAGGCTTGGGCGCCGGCCACTGCTCGGAAACAGCAATCACCATTGCCTCCATAATCGGCAAGGGACCAACCCTGTTTGCATGCTTCGTCCGGGTTGGTTGGGCATCGATGGTTGCCATCGATCTTGGGTTCATTGGAAGTACTTCCTTGGAATCGTCGAGGGCTACGTTCTCGTTCGCTGGGCTCAGTCCCTTCATTGATCACTGTCCGAGCCTTTCCGGCGGTCGCAGGCAGCTGAGGTCCTCGAACGGAAGACGAATCAGTGGAATTGCCTTGGTGCCAATTGCGAGGAACGCCTCGTAATGACTTTTCCCACACAGCCTTGGCTGGCTTTGTGGGTGCTTTGACAAAGGTGATTGTCATATCTTCTTCGATATCGTAATTGTAGCAATTCAAGTCGGCTTGCGGGGCCTTGGCAAGGAACCGCCACTCAGGCTTCTTGCTATGGAACCTTTTGGTAATGATCTCAATTTCTTTCCAACCTTGTTGTTCAAGAAAAGAAATAAGCTCCTCCCCCTCCCAAGTGCTCGGCATGCCACGACCAAGGAAGGTAGTTCTGTGAACTTCTGCCTCCTCTTCTTTGGTTGGGACGGTGCCCAAGTTGTTGGAGCCACTTTTCTTGTAAAACAGAGCTGTGTTACGTTTCTTGGCTGTTTGCACACACCTATGAAAATAGGCCTCAGAGCTTTCTTCTTTAGCTCTCGAAAACCAAGTGATAGGCTTTCGTGCTGGTGCGGTTTCAAGGATGTTTGTGAAAACTCCTTTGGAACCATTGTCTTTCAACAGGATTTCAGCCTCCTTGCGCGGGAGCTTCAAAAATCCTACAATCAAAGAATGCTTTCCTGCAAGCTGTTGGGACCACTGACCTCCTGTCAAACTACTGGCCTGAATCTGAGGAGATCGCAGGGCCAAGTCGGCAGCTATGTGCTTTGGCTTGTCGACAAAATCTTTTAAAAAGAGCTGTCTATATTCACTCGGTGCAGCGACGCGCAAAGTGCATCGGTCGATCTTGGGAGAGCGGCAAACGCGCAGTCCGAAGCCGTTAGCTTCTGTACATGTCTCAGTTGGTCTTGGACCATGCTGCTGTCACCTCCAAGGTCGGCATTTCCCCAGGAGACCACAGAACCATCCATGAGGACCGCTGCGAACGCATGGCTAGCTGCCGCAATTTGCTGCACATCTGTCAGGCGATCGTGAACGCTCCTGCTGTCCCCTCCACAGCACGGATTCCCCCAGGTCACCGCACGTCCATCGGCCAAAATTCCCACAAAGGCCCGAGAGTTGGCGCCAATCTGACGCACGCGTCCAGCAGCCAACTCCTGCGCCTCTCGGCTGTCGCCTCCAAAGGCGGCATCTCCCCAGGTCACCACGCGACCGTCCGCCAACAACGCGCAGAACGCCGCCTCCGTGGCCCGGATCTCTTGCACTGCTGGCCCTTCCTGGAGCAACTCCTGCACCGCGCGGCTGGGACGGCCTCCGAAGTCCGGCGCGCCCCACGCGAGTGCGCCGCCACCGGCGCACCATAGGGCGAAGGCCTTGGCAGTCCTGGCGAGCTGCGGCAGCTGCTGGATGGCCGTCAGGGTCTCACCATCACAGAGTTGGGCTTCCTGGACCGTGTGCCTCAGATCCAGAAGACGCCCATCAGCCACCAAGCGCAAGAATTTGACTCCGAAGATCTCCTGGGCAGCCAGCTTCAACTCAAAGAGTCTCTGGGTGGTAGATGCTGATAGGCTTGTGCTGCATCCGCTGGGCAAACAGACATGGATCCTCAACCTGTGGGAAGCCTCCGTCATATCATCGCTGAAAGAAATGCTGCGGTGGGCTGAAGCCAGAGCATTTTCCACGCAGAATCGAGTTGAAGCGCATATTCACACTACTGGCCCTAACCCAACAACTGTCAAGACGAGGCTCCAGATGCTTGTCTGCCTAGCTCCCAAGCAACTTGGCGCTTGGGACTTCCATCCCGAAGACCAAAACCGCTGCCATCGTTCTTGTCGGAACCCTAAGTCAGGTAGAGAGTCACCTGTAAGAAAAGATGTTGGCTTAGGCACCAGAACACAATGGCTCCCTGGCTCAACCTGGACACAGAGAACCCAAACAACCTGGGCCTGGGCACTCTAATCATCTCATCGCCCATTTCGGAAGCTGAGACTCTCGGCATCAAGTCTCCTTACATCTAGCATCATCTAGCCCTGCGTCCGCAGCTTTCGAAGTTGGAGACCTGCTTGTCCCACTCTGCCCCAGGTTTGGAACCGTCCAGTCTGGCGTTTGGTGGCACATGTTAGGGCAAGAATGGCCTTTCCGAACCTGGCGAAATGCCTCCCCCGCGCAGCGCAGCTCGACCCCACCTTTTCGTGCATCTCCGCGTCGGCGGTCAGCCTCCACGTCCCCTTCCTGGGACGTCTTCTGCAATGGTTCTGCCACAGCTGGTCCCAGGCTAGATCCTTTTCCGCCCTAGTAAGTAAAGGTCAGGTCTTCAAGAGAAGCCCCCAAGTGTCCAAGACACCTGAAGGTTTTGGGATCGCGGTGAAGGATCAGTAAGGAATGAACATGAATGACATCGGGATTTATATGGCTGAAGCCAGACTGGTTGTGACGAGCGGCCCAAACACCTGCCATAAAGGATCCTGAACTTGTCTCGGGGATGTGTCACACATCATACAGCCAAAAGTAAAGCTGGAACATGGCAATCATGCCGATCATGCTTGCTGGGGACCAAGCACCCCTGCCCACCCAGTGCGCACCTTCTGCCCACCCATGGCGTTTTTCAGGTGCCCCTTTTCACCCCTGTCCGGCGAGAGGCCATGACCAACACCCCTTGCTCATCATCATCAGGAGGGTTCTGGAGCGACTCGGTCACGTCCGGGTGCTTCTGGGGGTGCTGGCAGCAGCTGCTTCCTGTCGGGCGCCCCATCAATGGGGCAGCAAGAACTCAACGCCATCGGGGTGCGAGCGCCCTTTTGGAAGATGTCTGAAGGATCACCTCCCCACCTCCCCAGCCAATGTGCCCATGGTCTTGGAGGAAAAGGTGAATGGAGGTACATTGATCAAACCTCCCATATACATATATATGTATATCAAAGCCGTTGGCATGATCTGTGGAGTCTGGTCTGTGGGTCTGGCCGATGGAGCTTGCATCGCGAGCCCTTCGTCTTTCGTCACTTGAACGTCACTCTTCCGGGGCCAAACCGCCGGACTCAGCCAGCCATGGTGTAAATGCTGCATCGGACCGTTGGCAGCATCGGACGGAGGCTGAAGATGCAACCGGAACCACACAAGACTCTTGGGTAAGCTTGTCCCTCTCCCCTGAAAAGAGGTTTAGCATCAAAGCTTTGTCCCCTCCCAAGTCAGGAATTGTCTCCCAACCACTGGGCATTGAGCATTGCTCGGGCGCACGTGGCAACCCCCAATTGCGCTCCTGCCACACCCATGGCGTCCAGTCTGGGCGCCCACCCCTCTGGGCGAGATTGGATTCTGGGACCAAACGGTCAGTGTTGGAGGCCTTTTTCGGCTAGTGGACGTGTCGTCTGTTTGGTGTGGAGAAACATCTGCTGCAGGTGATCTGCTTGAAACTGGGGCGGACGCTGGAAGCGGAGCTTGATGTCGATGCGTTCGAACGATGTCGACTTCGACATCTCCAGTTTTGGGGGGGGGCTAGCTAGCTGGAAAAGTCGAGGATCGCTCACCCTTACTGCGAGCCCAAACGCCAAGACCGTGAGAAATGGCCATGTCATGGGCGTGAGGTCGAAAGTCACTCTGACGAATGCTGTCAGTTCACAGGCCCTGGTGTCCCCTATCTGGCCTCCTTTGCGTTAATGACTTGCACTTGATCTCTCTCAGGGGATCAGCAAGGGATGTACTCTGTGGCCTTGCAACAAGTTGACAGCAAGCCATCCTGCCCTATACCAGCATGGATAGGTCGTCCGCAAATTGCAATGATCTTATGGTTCTTCAACCATCGGGCCATTCTTTGGTCCCCAAAAAAACCACCGCACATCGAGACCGGACCTCCGAGAGAAGCGGGCCCGAGTCTCCCAAAAGTGGTCACGGCCTGGGGGTCTGAAGGAAACCTGGCCATGAAGAGCATGATCCGTTTCTGCATCAAGACATACTAGGACCATCCAAGGGGTGTCAGCCCACAAGGATTCTAGGGAAGTCTATTGGACCCTTGGACGGTCGAGGTAGGTTCCAAAGGATTCGATGGGTTGCGATGTAGCGACCGCCCGCTCCGATCGGCGCAGTCCAACATGTAGATCTTGCATTCAACATCGGATATAGAACCCGATTGAGAAGATCACCTTTGGGTGCGTCGATTTGGCCCCTCCGTGCCCCACCTGGCCCGCTTGAAAGCCACAGCCCCCCTCCAAAAAAAGAACAACTCGCTGTGTGCGCGGCGTGCTCTTGACTTAAAGCCCGCCTGGGTGAAACCAGAAGAGAAGGTGGTGGGTGACCCTCTGGCTAGGTTGGGTACGCTGGCTTCACTCTGGTGGATGATGATGGTGACCGGATACGGGAAAGAATGCGCCGAAGTGGTAGTGAGGCCGGCATGGCTGTCCGTTCGATCAACCCGGCTGTTGAATAAAAGTGGGAAAACCTGCCCACCTCGCAACAAGGATTGCAATTTGTCAATTGTCATCAGCATTGGATCCAATTCGCCGCTGCAAGGAGCGGAGGATGAGTAGGATGCAACCTGCTTGCGACATTCTAGGACAGCTTCCTGATGGGCCATACGTTTTCTACGAGGTCTTGATGGCGTTCCTACTTCATGTCCGCAGCTCCCTACAGCCACATTGAAGAAAAATAATCCAGCTGGTGCTGGAGCAAAGACTGATGAAAATTAGAAGAGGCGAGGTGATAATTTGGAACAAAGGCTGTGATTTAAAAAACTAAGCATGACCATTGTTGATTTTGATATACTGTAGTCACTTGCTTTGAACATTGATGGGCGCTGAAGTTCACTGTCACTCCCCGGGCTTTGGAGACCGTGCCCCTCCGCCCTCTCCGCTGGTCTTCCTGGCTCCGGGCCGCTCCGTTTTCACTCGCGCGAGGCACCGCAGCTCAGTCCGAGAAGAAGGGATTCTTCCTTGACTGGATCCAACGGAGAACAAACAATCCGGTGACTGCCTGCATGGTGACTGCCCCACAGCGGCACATGCTGCGGCCGGAGTCCAGTCCCTCAAAGGAACCCCCCCTAACAAAAACATGCGTCAAAAGACCAAAAGACCGGTCGTCTTTCCCAATGAACGAGTGTCAGAGACAAAAATGAATTACACACCATTATACACCATTATACACCAATTGCAACCAAATCTGACACACCATGAAAAACACCCCACTTGCTCTGCCCCCCCGACATGTCTCCAGGCCATGTCCGTCACGTCACTGGGTCTTTGGTGCTCGTCTTGCCGCCGCTTGGAGGGCCGACACTTCGTTGTCATTCAGACTCCAGCCACAGGCACCCAGGTTCCTTGGGGGGAACAGCTCTGCAGAGAGGTCGAGGTCGGAGGACAAGAAGGCGGTGCGCGGTGCTTGCGGGCAAAAGGAGACCAGGAACCAAAAACCGGAGGCTGACCAATTGAGACCAACCGAAGAAGGTCCAGGATGCCATGGACAAACTGACCCACATCAACAGAAAAAAAGGCTATCAACCACCACCAACCTCGAATCTCCTCCAATCCATGGACAAAGCGGGCGAGTGGAGTTTGATCCTGAGTGGTGGCTCCAAAGAATAGAGTTTGTCAACGTCTTGTGCTCGGAAGCCTTTTTGGACCCCTCATTGAACATTTGAGGCACGCGAGCTGCGTGCTCGACCTGTTAAAGACCCCATCTTTCGGGACTTGAAAGCCAGCCCATCCACCCTCTACAGCCTCTACACCAAGCATCTCCAGGACCTGTTGCTTGTTTCGTGCCCCAACGATGGCGCAGCCTTGACCCTCGGTCAAGGCAAAGTTCAGGGCGACCTGGCGACGCCGGCAGCGCGGTTTGGGCGAGTGTCTCGAACAATTGGTTGAAGATTTGAGTCGCCAAAAGATGAGCATCTTGGGGATAACGGTTAACGCCATGCCGACACTGGGCTTTGGACAAATCACCGCGCACCTGTGCCATGGTCTTGCTTCTGCAATCACCAATCTCCTTCAGCAGGGACAAGAGCTTCCTTGGCGAAACGGCCAGGATGTCGGAGCAATGCTTCCGCCCCAAAGATGAAGCAAGTGGCAAATGGCGAATATATAATATACAGTAAAATGATGGTCACGACATATCCACGGTTTCAGGGATGTGTTTTTCCCGATCTTCAGGAAAGTGTTTTTTATCATTGCGGCATCGGGTGCTCATGGGGCAGTTCCGAGGTGCTGAGTCTCTGCATTGGAGAGCAAGGAGGAGAAGAGGAAGGACCGCAGAAAGCTCTCTGGTTTCCGTCCATCCGCCTGAACTGCGTCGTGTTCGGCGGGCGTGGGGCAGGCTTAAACAGGCCAATCAACTGCTGCAAATACATTGAGCAAGTTGATGAAACCCAGCTAAGATCAGCGGTCGCTGCTTGTGACGGCGGACGTTCACATCTGCGAAGTGGTGGGCTCGCTTGCCTGGTACCGCCCCGCCAGCAAACCCAAACACAAAGGGCTGTAGGCCACAAGCGGCACTCCTGGGCCCGTGAGCTACAAAGTTGCGGCACCCCGAAATGAGGAAATACCCAATCATATCCACAGGAAAGACTGCTGAATGAGGGAGTTCGGTCAGTTCTGCAGCGCTGACCTTTTTTTGGGCCCAACACTTCCACCAAATCACGATCATCCTGCTGGAATCGAGTAGACCTGCAATAGCCGCCCGGACTGGCCGCTGGGTTTTGAGGCCCGCTGGATCCCTTCCCTTGGAGTTGCAAGGTGTCGTAGCCAAGACATACTAAAGCATATAGAAACTATAGTGCTGTTCTGAACCCCCTTATGCTCACACAACGGATGGCGTGGTGTTTTGGCTGCTCCAAATCCTGGCCGAACTACGGCGCATCTTGAGGTATCTTTAGCAGCTAGGTCGGCCATCAACAACGCTCCCGCTCGAACCGCTGCGCCGACCACGGCACCCAGCTCTTGGCAGACCTCCGCCACTCCAGACTCCCGCTCGGGCGACAGCAGCGAGTACTGCACCTCCGGGTCTCCGATCGTGGGATCAACGGGGACGAATTCCGGCGATCGAATTCCGGGGATCGGGGGAAAGTAGGTGTTCGCAAACCAAATAGATACCCATAGTGTGCGCCTCCATGCGCCTCCCAAGACCAGTTGACTCAGTTGACTCAGGTGTTGTATGCAAGCCTCGGGGGGTAGCTAGATAATGAACGACCGATGGATGGATTGGTCCTCCCATGGTGCATCGGATTCATCTGCTGGCGCCCGTACGCCTGGTTGAGGACTAAAGGTACCGAGCGCGCATCCAGGATGGCCGCAGCACGGCGCAGGTTCCTCATCGGTGCTTTTGGGGAGACAGGTCGGTCCAACTTCACGGTGGGCCAGGTTTTGTCTCAGTCCGTGCGATTGGAGTGATCCCAGTTCCGCGGGTGGCAAAGCGGCTCTGTTCACGCGGCCCTGTTCGAAAAGTTGGACTAAAACATCTCTTTCAACTTTTCGAAACACCAAGGTGCGAGGTTGCTCAGGCGCGAAGCCACCTTTTTCGGGCGCGCAGACGCCCGGGATTTCTCCTTGGCGTGTAATCTACCCAAGCTCCACCGAAAGCTCCTTATAGCCGAGATCATTTCGGAGTTTCAAGATCTCAGCGTAGATGTGAGGCTTCACTAGTGGCGAACACCTTCTGCTCTCCAGCATTTCCTCGTCATCATTCGTGTGGTTGAACGCATTTACAGAATCGGGCCGAGCCTTCGGAGACTGGTGACAAGCACGCCCATTTTCATCACCACGGTTGAGGTCTTCATTAACTACGTCATCCAGGATCGCTTGTCTCTGCTTCTCTGCAATCTCATCCCGAAACATGAAGCGGACGATCTCCTGGCCCACAAGGCGGCCCAAGCTCCCAAACATCTTGTGGAGGGCGGAATCCCAATGTCGGTAGCAACCGGAATCGTACTGTCCACACGCTCTTTTCACTGCGAAAGCGAGCACGGTATAGCTCAAGGGCCCTAGGAGCCAAACGGCGGCAGACACAACATAGTGTGACAACCTGGCTCAACAGAATGAGATCCTACCTCAAATTCACACTCAACCTGTTCTACAGGTGTCACACGGCTATACATTGAAACTCTTGTGTCTTCCTAAGGCATTGGAGAAATCTACTTCTGCTTCTGTACAGTGTAGTGGCACTCCTTCAGCACTCGAAGTAGCAGATCTGGCTTCATGGACTTCGTCAAACAGTCCGACACCATCGTACTGGTGGCAATCCAGATCAACTTGTCTCCTCCATTCTCGAAAGCAATCCATGTTGGTCTTCCTTCTTGCCACAAATTCTCATGGATTCCTTGCAACTCGATACCAAGGCGCTTGTCACTCACCTTGGCCAGGACTTCCTGATTGAGGTGGTCAGAAAGCGAACGGCAATCAGTCATCGCCAAATGCGGAATGCATTCACGGGCATCATCTTCCCATGTCTTCAGACTGCGAATCTTACCCTTAATCTCCGCAATCACACCTCTCAGCTTGTCACCTGTCTCGAGTCCGTTCTGGAGGGAATACGTTTCGGCCTGGAGAGTGCTGCGGCAGACTCTCTTAATTGTCGTGGATCCAATAGACAATGGCATCACCTTATAGGTGGTCGTCTTGTCATCCTTGATCTCCTTGAGATCACCCAGAAAATGGATCCTGCCCTGTTGCGACTTGTAGTTCTTCTCGTTGGAGAAGGAGGCATCTGTGACCGTGATCACACCAACTTCACTCCATTGGAGATGAGCCGCAGGAAAACACAATGCCACATCGTGACCTTTGTGTGCCAGGACAACGACTGCGTTAGCGTCTGCCAACGTGGACACAGTTGCATCTTTAATGCTAGACTGCAAACGGCTTACCCTGTAACCAAGGTCAGGCCTGGTCTGTCTCGAGATCCAGGCGAGCGATCCGGTGATCGATCTGAGCTTCGTGATGTCTCCTTGCTGGAGGCGTTCACTGCCTAGCCTAGACCCAACATCTGCTCCACGAATCTTCCTTGTGTTATCTGTTGTGTCGACTTTGATGACCTTGTCATCTCCTCGCACAAACTGCTTCCCACAGTATCGAAAGCTGTTAGTGTCTGAGCTGCCGACACTGAACTTGGCAAGAAAAGACTTCATCACTTCCTCGCCTTCCGGAAGAAAACTATAAAGCAAGTCGTCCACGTGAGTGCACATAAGGGCACAAGCATCTCCTCCCTGCTCACCTGGGAGGTAGTACAATCCTGGGAAAAACTGGCTTGCCTTCAGGCCGCTCTTACGTGCATCGGCATCCAAACGCAGCCAAAAGCCTCTTCCTGAGTCCGTGATTCCGTATACAGGGACCCTCACGAGAAAAAGGACATTGGGTTCTACACCTGGCAAACCTCCTCTTGGCTGACGCATGAGAAGGACGCGATCCAATGGTCGTCCCTGGAAATACGCCGAGGTGATATCAGCTGAATGGATGTCGGCCTGATGACAGGCTGCCCAACTGCAGACGAGACAGTGCATCTCGACATCGGCCGTTGGACTATCTGACCTCAAACCCTCTGTCATTTCAAAGTTCCCGCACGAAACTAGTCTGCTTTTATACATGGGCTTGTAGTCAGGGTCTCTCCCCTTCTTGTACTCTGCCTTGTCTACATCCACCCATTTGGATGGAATGCATTGGTGCCCTTCGTCAATGAGCTCTTGCGCTTGTTCTGGGGTCAATGCCACTACTGCTCCGAAATCTTCAAATTTGGACCATTCCTTTTGCCTTGTTTCCTGCAGGGCTTTCTGCACTTCTGGAGGCGCAGATTCATAGTGAATGCTCTTTAGAACCTTCTTACCTAGCTCTGCTTCATCCTCAGTCTGGGCAAGAAAACTAGTCCACATGGCATGTGCTTCTTCTCGATCTTGCTCTGGTAGCTCTCCGTCTCTCTGGCGTGCTCTCTCAAAATGTTCTCGAAGAGAAGCTGGCAAGTCGTTCAAATGATCATACACATTAGGCCATGCATGTGGAGCACTCGTGGACTCCCTGCGGGATGGTTGCAATGAGGTACCGCGTTCACTCTCCGGTTCGGCGACACGGGGCCTCACATTGCGACTATGCTCATTTCCTGTGTCAGGGCACGGGCGTGAAACGGAGCTAGCGGACCTACTCAACTCTTCAAGCGCATCTTCACCTTCGGATTGGTCTTCATCAAAGAAATCCGGTCTGATCCCTACATCTAATTCATCATCTTCTGGAACAGGGGGTAGTGAACCAGCATCCGGAAATTGGGGTTCGGTTTCTTGAGATTCGATGTGTATTGGGGATCCGGGTTCGCTCGGATCTGCACGTGCATCAAGGAAAGACTGCTGAACACCTTCCTTGACAACGTTTTCGGGAAAAACAGGCTCACCATGCAAAACTGCATGCGCTAGTGCCTCAGTCGGAGTCGCGATCTTCACGTTCTGATTGGCAACCAACACTGGAACATTTCCACACAACAACCACAAATTCCTTTCACCTTCATGGCCTATCACCCGACTAGTGGGACTCCATGCGGTGCCCCCCTTTTGGTTGTCTCGGCGAAAAGTCACTAGATCGCCTACTGCGTACTCCCGAGGAAGACTAGAAGCATTGCGAGTAAGCGCACGGGACACTCTTGCCGAACAATCTAGGTGAACAAATGCTTTCTGAGCTTCCTGCCTGGCCATGTGCTGTAAGGCGAAAATGCTCTCTGGGTTGTGACGGGCTTCAATAGCTCCAAGCTCGGCAAACCGTTCTTCAGACAATGGGCTCGGATCTGATCGGGGTCCTTTTCCAAGTACCCATTGACTAGGCGAGAAACCTCCGACTCTACTGGAGTTGTTCTTAGTAGCTACTACCTCGAGCAGTACCTGCTCAACCTGTTCTCTGCCAACAGCGCCTGTCTCTTTGCAAACCTTCCTAAAGAGTGACTTGACAATGCCTCCATGACGTTCTACACGACCAAGATTCTCCGGACTTTCCAGAGGGGTGTGGTACACTTGGATTCCATGTTCATCCATGTACTTCTTCATGACACCTCGGTTGTGCAGACCTCTGTCACATGCAATGTTCACAGGATGGCCACACCATGAGAACCAACGCTTCCTCAGTGCTTTCAGACATTCGGCAGAAGACGGTTGACCAGCACCAAAACGAACAACCTCACATAGCTGAAAAGTAGTACCCAAACAAACCATGTTCAACACTTGGAACTTGTCACCTGAAATGTCGTGAACTTCAAACACATCAATTCCTACAGTGTGGTTGAACGAGTAGTTGTTAGGCAATGCTGTCTTGTGCGTGGCCTTCTTCTGGGATGTTGCTTCACAAGTTTCGCATCTGTGGATCCTGACAGCATCAATGAATTCCTTTCGAACCTTTGCTGCACGAAGGAGATGGATCATCGTCTGTTTGGGGACGTGTCCAAATTGCCTATGCAATCTTCTCACACCAATCCTCACACGTGCAGGCAACTTGCGCCACATCCGGCGTCGTTCGACTTCATCTGCTGGCAGGCCTGGGATGTCCACTTCATCGACCAGTGTCTCTTCTGAGATCAGGTCTTCTACTGGATTCACTTGTGCACGATCTTCATCATCCCAGATGGCATCGAACTGCTGTTCATCATCCATGGCCTCTTCTTGCAGTTCACCAACAAATGCTACAGACATCTCATCGTCCAAAGTTGTGTCATTGGTCCATTCACCTAACCAATCAACGAACTGCCAAGACAAAACATCATTCATGGTCTGTCCTCGAAACCACGATTCGAAAAGCTCAGTCCACTTAGGATCATTGCAGGTGAATGCCAAGTCATGGTCGTTGATATGGGGAATCTGTGGAAACTCATGTTCCTCCCATCTCTGGGTAGTTGCAACATCAATGTGCAAAAACCGGCTACCACTCATGTCACAATGGGATTCTACTTCACCCAAAATCTTACCATGTCTCAAAGAGTCTGTACTCTTTTCATACCCTATGGCAATGACGATGTTCTTGTAGTCTTGCAAAACATCATACCAGACCTTGGAGTTCTCCTCAGGATTGAGGTGCTCAGCTCCCACACCGACGTCAAAAACGTCTGCAACACCATCTGCTGCTTGAAGCTCCTGAAAGATGCGGGGATGCGAAGTAATGACCAAGGTTGGAGGCTCTGAAACTGGGACATCCTTCAGACCAATGCTGGATTTGACCAAAGCATCTTGATGGTTCAATCGGTCAATGCCCTCCAAGACTGCCCTCCTATGCTTCTTACCCATGGTGGTTCTCTCATTGGGGTCAATCTGCAATGGAATGGACAAGACTCCTGAACTACTTGGCTGTGCATTGGG